ATATATTATATATATTATTTTATAAATATATAGACTCGTACAAATCTTTTTAATGATTAAATGCAAGAAAAATATGTAATCATATTAATAATTAATAATTGTTAAGAATCAAAACAATACTATATAATATTCAACAAGATAACAAGTTCAACAAGATAAAGAATAAATAATATATATATATTATTAAACAATATTGAAGATATTTTTATAAAAAAAAAAAAAAAATATGATTTAAATTTTAAAAAGAAAAGATATCGAACGTGATAATAAAAATTATAAATATTTTATTTAACCCAACCCGGCAAGAAAAAAGATTAAATCTATCAAAATACAACAATGTGACAATTTTTTTTTTATATTTTCAATTTAAATTTTATGAATGAGCCGGTTATATTTATTATAAAGAACAAAATAAAAAAAAAAAAACAAATATATCACTCATTTTTATATGTATATACATATTTTCAAGAATCGAAAAGATACATTATAAATCAAAAAACAAAGAACCTTCAATAAAAGATAAAAAGATGATCAGAAAAATTTGCACATTGTTTCTACAAGAACTGTCTGCTACGTTGTCATGGCCCCACCCGGTTCAAGAAAGGGTTAACCCTTTCGCTGCGCAAATCTTAACTTTTGTGCTGTCTGCGCGCGTATTTCTCTAATAAAATCATAATTATTTTATCAAAACTTTTTCTATAGGAGTAAATTTATGATAAAATCTAAATCACTAAACAAAATATATATATTTCAAATACAGTTTATAGGTTACCTTGTTAACCGCACGAAACATGTAAGACATTTGTGCTACCCAATTCTCCAACAATCATTCTCAACAACTACCATTCTCTTATAATCAACCTGCACGTAATCCAATAAGGAATATCAACCCTTCTGTTTTATTATAAAATAATCAAATTTACCAAACAATTAAAAATTTATCATTTAAAATTTAAATTTCAATATTCTATTTCAGAATAAAAAATGAAGAAACTAAAACAATATATCAATCATTTTTTTAAAAAATACGATTATATGTATATAAATAACAACCAATTTATTATAATGTTAAAAATACTTAAGAACCTTAAGAATCTATTGTTCATATCAATTTGTTGAAAAAATTATACCACGTACAAAACGAAAACGACTGATTATAGGAAAATGGCATGTTTCCAATCCAATATAAAGTTCGAGTTGGTCAGGAATGAAAAGGAGAGGAGGACTTACCGACGCGTGCTGTGCGTAGGTGGCGGTGGCGTAAGGATTCGCCGTAGGCGGTAGTTGCTGTGCTCCGACGGGCATCTGGCCGGCCGCAGCTGCAGC